CCTTCCAAAAATAAAAGAAGTACATCTTCTAAAAACACTCATTCTCTCTTACAGTAGTTTATTTTTTTTAATTTCAGTGTGAATCAGAACAAATTCTAATACATAAGAGGAAAAAAGTTTCAAAAAGGGAATGATTTTACTTTTTCCAAATGCAACTTGCCCTACTATGCCAATGTGTTTTAAAACCTAGGAAAGGGAAATAAGATGTGCTTGTCTTTGCTCTTGTCAGGCAACCATTAATCTCGGACAAAAAAGAAGGAGAAGAACAAGAAGACAAGAGCAATTCCTCTGGGAAAACTTTCTGTTTTCTTGAGCCCACTGTTGCGTTAATCCTATTTCAAATGTCATGGACAAGGTGAAATATAACTTGTCATTGAAGATGCCTGGCTTCAAAAGACTCTGTGAAATGGAGAGCCAGGTTTCCGTAGCCCTAGAATCTTTCAGACAGCAGATGAGTTGTGTCACTGCCAGTGTGTTCAAACAAATTACTTAATATCGAGTACCTTCTCTTGGATCAAGTTTTCATTCATTTTGTTCTGTTTGGCTTAAATTCTGGATCGATCCAAGGCTGGAGTAGGCTCTTAAAAGTGAAAAACTTTGTGTATATTCTACCTGACTGTAAGTTTGCTTCTTTCTTATTTTGTTAATGTCAGAAATTGATTTTGTACATCTGGATGACCAGGACCTGAAAGATTCATCAGAGAAATAATCGTTAACTTTACCACCCAGGAAACACTCTGCACCAGCTGAATTTATCCCCAATGTGGCCCTGATCTCTGCAGGAATTAGAAACAGCAGATTGCCCCCGATTTATGGTAGATCATTTCTGCAGGGCAGAAATCAAAAATAGAGTATCAAAAAAACCCAATAATTTTCAACCAAACTTCTGCATCTTAATTTAAAAAGGTTGCTGAGAATAGACAGGAATATGCCTATTTTGTAAATAACAGTACTCAAGAAGGTATAAGAAACTTCAAGATCTTACATACACTCATGGCAGGATTCAAGAAAACAGTTAACTGTCTCTATAAAAATTTGCAAATAGGCCCAGGTGAGAAGAAATGTGCAAGGTTTCATGTTAGACACTTTGCATTTGTTGTAACTCAATTTGTTAGACACCACAATTTATATTTTAAACATTAGTTAATGCTGAACATAAAAACTTCTCACCTTGGTACTCTAATTATGCCCTAAGCAATTTGTCTGGGTAACTATAGCAACAATTCCAGAAGCATTTTTAAATACAGATTTGATATAATTTTAGAATAAAGAATTAGGGAGGATTTAACGTAGGATATAGGACTGCTCTTCTCAAATAGTTGCACATACACTACAACAAAAGAGATTGCTTGACTGAGATATATTATAAATCAGTTAATTTGTTCTGTCGTGCACACCATCTGATTTGTAATTCAAACCTGTTCCTTGGGAGTCCTTGCTGATCTTAGGTAACTCTAGAGCTCATGATCCCTTGTCTACACAATGAAATGCCTTTACACTTAGGTTGGACGCTGTGAGCAAGGTCTTCTGCTCCCCCTCCCACATATTCCTCAGTGTATATCAGATGCAAAGTCTCTATTTCAATCACTTTATAGTCAAAGAGGGGGGCATTTAAGACTCTTAAAAATAATAACCAAGTTAGTTAAAACTATGTAATGATTCAGACAGGCAGCTCTCTCTAATATCAGGAGCAGGTGACCTAGTCCCCAAGGAGATGGCACTTTTTATTTTGAGCAACTACCACACAGAGCAGGGAAAAACTTTTTTAATCTTAACTTCTGTCTCCCAGCAAAAAAGTTGAAGTGATTGTGAAGAAAAATTTCTTACTGGATGAAATGGATGGGGCTCCAGAAAGCCCACAACCCTCTAAAACTTTACATAAAATGTGTATGAATGTGCGGGTGTTCATTTTGGTCCCATGGCCAACTAGTTTTACCAGCCTCTGTGCTGTAAGTTTCTACATTTCATTCTCTCCAGACACGGTGAAAACATCACTTGAAAGGGAAACAGCAGTGAAGAACACAGAATTATTTTTACCAAATTCTGAACATTTCAAAAACTTCCTTTGGACAAAGACAAGCTTTACCACCCAGGAGACCAAAGCCTTTCCTCGCAGCAGGGATCTCACAGCTGTTTGCCATTAAAAATAACCAAATAAGTTAGTGCAATTGTAAAAGGCCTCAAATGATTAGCATCATCTATCTCCTCCCGGTTAAAAAAAAAAAAAAAGTACTTACTGGCTAGAAGCGTAAAAGTAAGTGCCAGTTCGTCAACTCCACAGTTTGATGAGTACAGAAATTCTTAGTGCGACTGCAACATCATGAATGAGCTGCTTTCCCCAAAGTTTTTATGAGAAAGAAACTTAAAGAAAAAAAAAATGGGTTTCAAGCGGACCAATTACAGTTAGCACTGTTCTTCCATGTCTAAAACAATCAGGGAAAAAAGAAACCTTAAAGGGGAAAGTCTAAGTTTCTTTTGAGATAAACACAGGCATGGACAAGAAAAGTTACTTCAGTAACATAATATAAAACTTAAGTTGTGAACTGTCCCCTCAAAACAGCACATGCATGGTAAACTTTAGCCTCTACTGCTAATGAAATTGTCATTAATTAGCAATACATTTAGCAAACCTAATTAGGTCTTGAAAAATCTGTCTTTTTAAAGACTGGTTTTCTCTTTCTGTGTCTCCTGACAAAAAGATCAACTCTATAATTAATAACATATCTGCTGTTCCCAAACTCAGCCATGTCGACAGAGTTCTGTGTAAGCTGTGGCATGCGATTATCTTACTTAAAAATAAGCTGCAACAGTCATTTGTAACTCCTGCTGTTTTAACTAATGTGCTCCCAAAAAGCATAACTCGCGTCGTCCTCGCTCAAATTCGCTTTCTTTCTGTGTAAATACAACGGTCGCCAAGGGAAAAAGGATGCGCAGGCAGGAAGAGTTTGCCCAGTTACATTCTGGAAGGGACCTTTCTGGTTAGGGACTGTGTCTGGCAACCACCTTTCCTGTGCGTTCTTCCAGCAAGGCTTACAGTTCTCTGTGGTGCACAGATCCGCTCTCCTCATACCCTGTCTCTGCTCTGAAACTACTGCCAGATCTGCCAGGTCCTGATGTGTGTTAGCTGGGACCACCACCCACTCACCCGGGACAGCGCAGCTGCCTGCAACATCCTATCACCCTCTTCGCGCGCTCGCTCTCAGCGCCCCCTGCCGGGCATCCCCGGGACGCCGCAGGCGCAGGAAAGTTAAATCCCAACTCCAGGCAGCAACATCAAGGTACAAAGCGAGGAAAGGGTGAGGAGGTGAGCGCGCTTCCCGCCAAAGCCCCGGGAACTGGGAATAGACTGTGCTAGGCCAGGGACCCGGCGCCGCGGGGAGCGATCGTGGAATCGCTCCTCCGTGACTGTGTCCTCGCACATCCCGAGAGGAACAGTCTCCTCTGGGGCCCGATCTGCCTCCAGCCCCGAAAGCCTCGTCAGGGTAAGCGAAATCCGAGGAGCAGTAGAGAGATGCTAATGGCAAGAGGCTCGTCTGCCTGCAGCCCACATGGCAGGAGGTTCCCCAGGTCTCTGCATCCTCCGCCTTGGTCTCCTTCATTAACCAAAGCGCTTGGTGGAGTTGAGCTCAAGTCCCACTGGCTCCCGGTTCCCCTGTATTAAGAGGAGGACAACCTGCCCAGGCGGACGAAGCTGCAGGTTGACTGCTCCCCCGAATGTCAAGCCCGGGCCGCGGGGTCCACTGACTCTCGACAACGCGAGCCTGGAGGCGCACCGGGCGCGCGCATAGATCTCCACCGCGCACCTCTCCGAGGTGTGGGGCAGCGGTCCCGTCCAGCCCACCGAGACACTCCGGCTCCTTACCTCATGCTCAGCCTCCAACAAAGGCGGGGACACAAACTTCCAACCCGAGCACTAGCTGAACTGTGGGCGCCCCCGCACTGACGGTGGTCCTAATACCTCACGCGCAACCCCCGCCCAGGTGCTTACGCACCCAACATCAACACCACCCACCAGTCGACCTCTGCCGTCCCGCGGTCCCAGCCAG